CTCAACCACAAATACAGTATTGATGTTTCCCACCAATACGGCAAAAGTAAATTTTTATCGCCTACCAACACGTGCAATGGGTTTTTAAGACGTGGGAATTTTACTGTAAAATAAACTGGATATTTAAAACTTTTAATTATCTAATTTATTATATTTACTGGAAAGTATTATTATTATTACTTTAGCAGACATGTCAGACAGGCTGAAAATATGTTGGATTGGATATTACGAGAATTTCTATAGAGCCAATAGTTGACTCCATAAAATAATTAACTCCACATGACCTACGTGGCGTTATAACATTGGTGGTTGACTCTATAGCATTTCTCTGGATATTACATATTTGTTGTTGGATATTACATATTTATAATTTTATGAAGTAGTATCAATTTAGTTTTTTTATTTATTGTAGATTTAGATTATTTATTATAACTTAAAAAATATATCTTTTTTGGAAATGATGAATCATCAACCATTAGGGAACATACAACAAAGCAACGTTGTATGATTTAAGGATTTATGATAAATTTATAATTATTTATTTTAATTTAAAAATAATAGTGTTTCTTTTCATAATGCTAGGATCATATAAAATTTGAGAAAGAAAGACAAGCACAATTTTATTAATAAATTTTAATAATAAAGGACCAGTAATTTACTTTTAACACGTGACATAGTTAGTGTAAAATAAATCAGTTTTTTTCTGACATATGGCATTCATGGAGAAAATTTTTTATTTATAATAATATTTAATGGGACTCACGAAAAAACTTTCTATATTTAGTATTGTGTTGTCTACTTATATAGCAAATAGATAAAAAAAAAAATCATGAAATTTTAAGATGGATATATCTACATATATGCATAAATATGTATATATTCGCGTGTTTGTTCATATATTTTTTTTCAAATATTTATCATTCTCTGAGATAAATATATTTATTATTTATTCTTTTTAGTTTATAGTTGACTATTTATTTTTAAAATAAAATTTTATTAAAGTTTATATTTGTTACTCATTTTTTATAAATCATTTGTATACAAAAAACCTGATGTTTCACATATATTAAATATATTATTAAGAAAAAATATACGAGATTATTTAGTGTATTTATTTGAGTCATGTCTTTTTAGAAATCTGTTAAAAAAATAAATATGAGAGTCTAAATCAAGACAAGTTATCACTCAATCATTATCTTTGTTTAACCATTATTATTATTTAGTAAACTTAGTTGATAAGTTAGCTAATAGTGATAACTGATAAGTGAATTTCGAACTTATAACTAATAGTTTCATAGCTTACATGGTTAAAAAACTAACTAATATGATAAAAATGTTAGCTAAAAATAGTTGATAAGACAAGCAAAAATAGCTGATAAGAGGAAGACAACTAAAATAAAAATTTAAATTGTTTTATTTTAAAAGTTACTAAAAAAGTTTATGAGATAACCACGAACTTATTAAAAAATGTCGCCCTACTGCACCAAGCGTATTTGCTAGCTTATAAGATAAGCAAATAAGATATAATCTAGCTTATAGTGCTTATCAAACAAACCCTATGTTATTTGTTTCTTTTGAAGAAAAAAAAAAAAGAAATATTGATAACATATAGCTTATAAATAAAAAATAAAAATGAGTAAGTTAATTAATAATTTATTAAATGTTGTAAACAAAGATCGAGAACTTACTATATATTACAAAGTAAAACAAATATACGAATAAATAAAAATAATAATAAATAATAGTTCATCTTTTTAATTATATAGTAATAAATACTATATAGTGATCATCTATATTCTAAATAGTCTGAATGGCTATTATATTGCAAGGAAGTATCACAAATGTAAATATTTAAACCAACTTGTAACAAAATATAGTACTACTTACCTTCTTATCATGATGAGATAGGTGAAAATTCATCATTTTAACGAAATTCATTTATATGTTTAAATAGAATCGATTTTATGGTAATCATCAAAATCAATTAATATTTTAGTTAGAAAAACTATAGCGCACTGATCAAATTGATGATGTCATATAAAATATCTATGTGATATTGATATACATTATTATTAAAATGTCACTTTCATATCAAGGTAAATGACGATGGTTTTCTAAGATGTTGAAGTATATATGTTCTCATGCTAATTAATTTTAGAACTCTATTACTCGAAATTTCAGGAATTGTATATTGTTAGTCTTACCTAATAATTTTATAAAATGTGTTACATAATTCAAATTGACAACTAATCGACCTCAAATTTAACATAATTCGATTGACTAGAGTGCATCAATCACCACACGTGCAAGACTAATAATTTTATAAAATGTGTTACATAATTCAAATTGACAACCAATCCTCCTCAAATTTAACATAATCCGATTGACT